AAGAGAATGCAACAGTATTTTCCAATTGCTCCTTCCAAGCTGGGTGGATGTGTTCCTTGTTAATAGGCTCCGCATCTGTTTGCAAAGTTCTATAAACCAAACCAAGAATGCATTTTGCTCAGTCTTGCTTCTGTCCTTTGTACTGTACTGCAAGGCGCTGAGCAGGAAGCTTCTTCAGCTGCAGCTGTGATCTGGACACCTGCTCTTCCACCTTCCTGGGTGGAGAAGTATGGGGGGTAGCGTGAGACACAACACCCATGAGGAGAGGCATGGCAGGAAACCTGGGGGCCCATGGGGAAGGAAGCACAGTCGGAGCTGTTGGTTTTGGTCACCATATTGACTAGCAGCTGACCAGACTGCAATTTGTATTCAACTTCATTGGCTCTTACAAATTTAGGGTAATTTTTTCTGAATTTTAAATGGCATAGAAAGACCAATGACTTTATTGTTTATTTAAATTTTACCAGTGATTTCAAAACCTGTATAAAGTCCTATTTTCAAGTGTTCAATTTGTAAGATTTCCTTTTTTTTCAAATTACAATTATCGAGAAGAAAACCTTTCTTTTAATGACCACCTTTAAATTCCTCTCTCTCTCTCTCTCTCTCTCCCTCTCTCTCGCTCTCTCTCTCTCTCTCTCTCTCTCTCTCTCACACACACACACACACGACTATTGGAGGCATGTTTATCAATAGATGGACACCATCTCTTAATTATAGTAAAAAAATAGAAGCTAGAGAACTTCCTAAATTGTAAGGAAGACTCATGATGGCAGGGCTGCCCTGGGAGCTGGGAGCCTTCTATCACAGGAGCTAACAAAGGCTAAATATAAAAGGAAAGCACAGAGCCACTTTACTTACAAATATCAGTCCAAAAATCCCAAATAAAATATTCGAGAACAAAGACAGGCAGTACATCAAAAAGAAAAGAACACATAATAACTAAGTTATCAAAAAGATTGTTCATTATTAGAAAATCTATTAATAGAATTTAATATGTTAATCAGAAGACCATATTTATAGATGAAGATTACAGTAAGACTCCCAATAAAATAAGAACAAACAGATACTTTAAAACTACAAACAACAACAACACTCCTGTCTCAGTCCACAGGCCAGCATCATGTTTGGGGGAAACAGCAGAAGCATTGCTGCAAAGGTGAAGACCACCCATGTCCACCACTAGAATGTGCTGTTGTACTGGAGGTTCTAGTCAATGAAATCAGGAAAGAGAAGCAAATTAGAGATATACAAATTGAAACACAGGAGGTAAAACCCACACTACTTGCTAACCATTAAAACTATGTGTTTCATTGAACACTATTGAACACAATATATGCTTGTGTCAGTCATTGTCTTAAGTGCTTTATGTGTTAATTTACTTGGTCCTCACCCAAATCCTACCTGGGAGGTATTGTGATATCACATTTTACAGAAGAGGAAACTAAAGCATAGAGGCCAAAATGGCTTCACACAGCCAGTATGTGGCAAAGCTGTGATGGAATCTTGGCAGCCTGCCCCCAGAACCATAGATGATACAGTCTATACTGGGAAAATCCATGAGAATCACTTGAAAAATAACTACAAATGATAAATCAAGCAAGGTGGCAGGATGTAAAATTGATATACAGGATAAGCAGTAATCAGGTAAAAGATATAAAGAAATAAAAGACCCCATTACAACAGCAACAAAACCAAAAAAATGTCTAGGAATACAATTAACAAGAAATATGTGCAATGTCTATGAAGAAAAAAAAGAAGCACAAAAAACAAGTGAAAGATAGGCCATGTTCTTGGAAATGTAGACTCAACATATAAAGCTGTCAATGCTTCCTAAGGTAATAAATTTAATAAAATTTCAATAAAAATATCAACCGGTATTTTTAAAACTTTCAGAGAAAAAAAGAATTAAAAAATAAAATAAAATAAACCATCAACAAAACAACAAGAAAACCTACTGCATGGGAGAACATATTTGCCAATGATATCTCTGATAAGGGTTTAATCTCCAACATATACAGGGAACTCATACAACTTAACAAAAGGAAGACAAACAACCCAATCAAAAAATGGGCAACGGAGCTAAATAGATACTTTTTGAAAGAAGACATAAGGAAGGCCAAGAGACATATGAAAACATGCTCAAAGTCATTAATCATCCTAGAGATGCAAATCAAAACAACAATGAGGAACCATTTCACACCTGTCAGAATGGCAATATTTGGACTCAGCCTAAGTGCCCATCAGCAGATGAGTGGATTAAAAAACTTTGGCACATCTATACAATGGAATGCTATGTTGCTGTAAAAAGGAAGGAACTCCTACCATTTGCAACAGCATGATGGAGCTGGAGAGCATTATGCTAAGTGAAATACGTCAATCAGAAAAAGATAAATATCACATGTCCATTTGTGGACTATAATGAACAACATAAACCGATGAACAAAAACAGATCTAGAGACAGAGAAACATCGATCAGATGCTCAAACCTCAGGGTTAAGGTAGGGGAGGGTGAGGGTAAGGGGGAGAGATCAACCAAAGGGCTTGTATGCATGCATATAAGCATAAGTGATGGATGCAGACAACAGGGGGTAAGGGTGAGGGCAGGACTGGGGGGTGGGGAGACAATGGGGGAACAAGGACACATTTTTAATACCTTAATCAATAAAGAAAAAAATTCAAAAATAAAAAAGAACAGCAGTGAGGTGTGAGACAACTTTAAATGGTCTGATATATGTATAACTGGAGACCTTAAAGCATAGAAAGGCATGGAGTTAGGGGCAGAAAACATATTTTAAGAAATAATCACTGAAAAAATCCTCAACTTGATGAAAACTATCAACCCATGTAGGTCCCAGTAGTTCAAGAAATCACAAGTACGAGACACATGAGAAATTATACTAAGGCACACCATAATTGAATGACAAAACCTGCAATAAAGAGAAAGATCTTAAAAGCAGTGAGTAAATGGTCTGCTAGATGATTCTATGTCTCTGGATATATTTTTGTTCATCAGTTTATGTTGGTCATTATATTCCACAAGTAATACTTTCAACAATAAAGAATTTTTTAAAAAGCAGCGAGTAAAAAAGACACATTCTACACAGAAAAACAAAGATGAGATAACTGCAGACTTACAGTGGAGCAACACCTTAAAGTGTTGAACAAACAAACAAAACCAAACCCAACCAAACCTGTCACAATAGAATTCTAAACCCAGCAAAAATTCTTTCAAGAGCAAAAGTTAAGTAGAATATATCACACATATATTCCTGAAGGAATTCCTCACCAGCAGAGCAGCACTATAAGAAATGACCAAGATTTTCTTCAGGCAGAAGGAAAAGAATACTAGGCAGAAGTCTAGATTTACATAAAGAAGTGAAAAGCACTGAAAATGGTAACTATATGGGTAAATATATAAGATTATTTTGTATGTAAATCTTTTAAAAATATGAATTTTCACACAAAAATAAAAACAATGTAATGTGGAGTTTATAACATATGTATAAGTAAAACAGATAGTAGTATAAAAAGCCAGGAGGGGAGAGGGGAAAGTAGACTATTTTAAGGTTCTTATAGATACATGTGTGAAGTGGTATATCACCTGAAGGTAGATTGTGAGAAGTTTACAAACCCTAAATCAAAAATAAAAAAAAATAAAGAATTATAGCTAATAAACCAACAAAGGATCTAATGGAATCATAAAAATGCTAGGAGAGTCCAGAAAAAAAGTCAGAAAATGAAGAAAAAGGTAACAAAGAATACATGGGACAAATAGCTATGTAGCAGATTTAAATTTACATATATCAACAATCACACTGAATGTAAATGGTCTAAATATTCCAATGGAAAGAAATTATCAGATTGGATTAAAAAGACAATTTTAAATATAAAAACCAACTAGGTTAAAATTAAAAGGGTGAAAAAAACATACCATGTTCACACTAATATAAGGAAATCTACAGTGGCCGTGTTAATATCAAAGTGGATATCAGAGAAAAGAATACTGGTAGAGGCAAAGGAGGCAACTTCATAATAATCAAGGAGTCAGCAGAGGACATAACAACACTAAACATTTATACACCTAACAAAAATAGGAAAATCCACAATTATAGTGAGTTACACAAGTTGTAAGACACAAGATTAATATACACAAATCAATTGTATTTCTATATTCTGACAATGAACAATTGTAAACTAAAGTGAAAAATTTTGAACAGTATAGAAAATATGAAATACTTCGGGATAAGTCTGACACAATACTTGTAAGTCTGTACACTGAAAACTACAAACATTGCTGAAAGAAATTAAGATATAAATAAATGGAGAGATATACTTATTCATGTGTCAAATGACTTTGTATCATTAAAGCTGTCAATTATAATTGAATTCATTGATAGGTCCACACCCTCTCAACCCAAACTCCAGCAGGCTTTTATTGTGGGAAAGTACCAGCTAATTCTAAAATTTAGATGGAAATACAAAAGGACCTAGTGTAATAGTCGAAACAATTTTGAAAAAAACAATGTTGCCTGATTTCAAGACTTACACAGCTACAGTGATTAAGACAGTGTGGTATTGGCATAAAGACAGACAAATAGATCAACAGCACAGAAAAAGAGAATTCTGAAATAAACCCACACATATATGGAGAAATGATATTTTTATAAAGGTGCAAAGGCAATTCAGAAGGGGAATAAAATGACAAAACTTCTAGAAGAAAACATGAAAAAATCTTTGTGATCTTGGGTTAGTCAAAGATTTTTAAAATATGACACTAAAAGCACAAACTGATAATTGGGACTTCATCAAAATTAAAAACTCTGTTCTTCAAAAGACATCATTAAGAGAATGAAAAGACAAGCTACAGACTGGAATAAAATATTTGCAAAACAGGTACCTTAGGACTCATATCCAGAATATATAAAGAACACTCAATAAGGAAACCAAATTTTAAAATTGGCAAAAGATTTGAACAAACACTTCAACAAAGAATATATAGATGGCAAATAAGCACATGAGAAAATGGCCAACATCGTTAGTCACAGGAAATGCAAATTAAAACAAGGAGATGCCATTTCATACCTACTGAGATGGCTAGAATTAGAGACTGAGCTAGCAGATGTTGCTGAGGGTATGGGAGAACGGGCACTCCCACATGTGAGGGGAAAGGAGGATGGTACAACCACTGTAGAAAACAGGTGAGAAGTTTCTTAAAAAGTTAAACATACACCTATCAAATGACCCAGCCATTTCACTCCTAGGTATCTGCCCACAAGAAATGGAATACTATGTCCACACAATCTGGTACATGAATGTTCATAGCCGTTTTATTTGTAGACTCTCGAGGATGAGCCTGCTCTGACAACACCTCCTCACTGTGGTCTGGGGGCTCAGCTCCTCAGAGTGCTGGGCATCATGTGAGGCAGATGGCCTGCCTGGCACAGGATCATCCCATCTGGGCACAGCCCCCTGTGCTGACTCCTACTGGGTTTACTGCGTGGAGCCCCCTCAGCCCTCCCCACATTGCTCCTGCTGCCACCCAACAGGCTCATCATACCTCAGAGCTCCTATCTCCATGGTGGACTGGCATATCTCAACCACAACCTGTCCCAGACCTTCCCCCACCTTCCCGAGCCTCTCCAGAGCTTAGATTGAGAGCCTTCTGCCCACCGAGGCCCTTTCTTTCACAGCCCACATCTTATGTCAGGAATCCTGTTGATCCTTCCTTCAAAATGCCTCCAGAACCCACTCTCCCAGTCCTGGCCCCATCTTTCAGCAGTGCCTGCAGCCTCCAGAGCCCTGTCATCGTGTTACCTGCACCAGAGCTCAGGTGCCCAACCCTGGCTCCAGCCGCCCCTCCACCTGCTATTCTCAATCCAGGCCCACCTGGGCTGAAGCTTCTTGGGTCCACCTTGCCACACATTTAACCTTGCACTTCTGATGCCCTCCTCATCACTGGGTCTTTCTCATCACAGGCTTCTATTGCTTTCTAAGGCACTTACCTTGTCTACTGGCCACCTGCTGCCCTCATGCTGATGAGGATGCTCAGAGGAAGACCTGTGTCCACTACATCCCTGCCGCCTCTCAGGCCCCAAGTGGTGGCTGGTACGTGGCCAATATGTCCTGTGGGTGAGTGAACCGCATGGCCTTAAACCGTCCAGTGTGCAATGACCAGGCGCTGCTATGCTGTGCTCCCAACCTCGACCAGGCGACTCCTAGGTGGTGATGGGAGTGTGTCCCGGTGGCCTAGGCCAGTGGTCGGCAAACTGCAGCTTGCGAGCCACATGCATTTCTTTTTAGGCCTCTTGCCCCTGAATCAGGAGATGGGATGCAGGTGGCCACTTACTTTCTTCTCTGCTACATTGCTGCTCTGATTAGTGATCCGGGTTCAGTTTTTATTAAGGGTTTCATTTTGGTCTCTTCTGTTTTCTTTTGTCCTTTTTTTACTTCATGTAAAATTGCTACCACCCTTGTTTGTGCTACCTGGCTCTCCAGGGGTCGTCTCTGGAGTGAGGTGTGGGGATAGACCATCCCAGCCACTGCTTGCTAGACGGGTTCTGGAAGAGATGTCTCTGCCTGCCCATGAGTCTCCCTCTGCAGGGGCATGTGTCCCAACCAGGGCTTTAGCGTCTCAAAGGGGCCATGGGCTCATTGAGGTGAGCACAAGTGAGCAAGCAGATAGTTTTGTGAAAAAGTGAGATGCACATGCTGGGAAGTAGCTGGGGTCACATATGCGGCCTGACCTCCCATGCCCACGGAGGCAGTGGGAGAGGCTGTTTCCACAAGTTATAAACTGTACTTTGTAGCCTGGGCAAGAATGGAGTTTTCATTATTGTCATTTTAAGTAGTTTTGCAAAAGTAAAACTAGAAAGACCTGTGCAAGCCAAACATTTAAGAAAGGGTTGGGAGAGAGGGGACAAAGTATTAATTTGTGTGAGAATGAATTAGCTTCTCTAGACAGCAGGTGGCTGCAGAGCCAGGTCTGATGAGTGTGTGACCAGGCGCGTGTGCAAAAGGGGTGGAGGGGTCTGAGTGAGGGGCACAGAGAGGAGCCAGAGCCAGTGGGGGCAGCCCACGACATTTATTGAACTCCGACATGGTGCAGAGGCGCTTCCTGGCCAGTCTAAATCCTATAGCCACCCCGGAAGCTGCCCAAGGCCCATGTGTGGCCTCCCCACACATAACATCTCTGTGAACTCAGAGCCTAGCACCTCCTTCATCCCACTTCTCAGGTCAGGTTCTGGCACCTGCTTTTCCTTCCCTCAGGACAAGGGAAAGGGTACAGCATGAGACCTGCACAAGACCTGCATGGATATGTGGACCAAGACAAGCAAGGGTATGAGGGGAAACAAAGTCAGCAGGTGAGACCAGGTGAGAAAGGGGCAGCCACAGGTCTAGATGAATGAGGAGAGGACAGCTAATAAGAAATGCTGTCAAAATGTTAAATCAACTCTTAAAACAGTTACACTGACACTAAGGAGCAATATTTCTAAAATGTCACAGATGGGAATGCCCCCAAGCACTGAACACTGAACATAATAAGCGCTGCATGCGGACGCGTGAGAAGGCTGGAGCAGAAGTTACTGAATGCACAGTCAGGGACAGGCCTGGAGCTCACAGACAGCTATAAATATAGACTTGCTTTGTTGGCATGTGTACCTCTATAGACCATTTTGTTAGTAAAGAAAACCTCTATTTGTATTTGTGACACAGGGTGGGCTGTCTGTACAGAGCGTGCGAGCCAGGTGGACGCCAGGGTTCATGGTGTGGAAGATGCTGGGCAGGATTAGAGTGCGCCCATCCCAGTGACCTCAGACGTCAGCCTAGAAGAGAGAGAGGCACAGGGAGACAGGTTACAGCATTCTCACAAAATGAGGTCAGACAGGAAATGTATTGCCCTGTGGCATCCTCACAGCCTTGGCATATATCTCCCTCCTTATTGGGACAGACAGTCTCAGGTCGCTGCTCAGTGGCCTTGAGCTGGAGACCAAAGCCCAGCAGAGGGAGAAGGACCCACCAGGGGCCCCTGTGCTTATCATCACGTTAGGGGCATGATGAGAACCACTTGGACAATCTTAGGCCACCACAACCATTTCCACAGCAACCACTCAGTGAGGGGCACTGGAGTCACACTGCCCACAGGGGCTGCCTCCCTGTCCCCCTGCACATCCCTTCAGCCCTTTCAACATTGTGGGGTAGGGAAGAGGGTCTGGACCAAGGTGGAGAGGTCCCATCTCCCTGGGTGTGGTCACACTGTGTTCTCCAATGTGCCCTAGGTGGGGAGGCCAGGTGAGTGGCCCAGGCGTGGCCAGGAGAGTTATCACTGCTCTGGGCCTCCTCACCATGTGCCCTGGCCAGGTTGCAGGATCTCACCTCCTACAGCATGTAACCTTGAACCCTCTCAGAGTTCCCTCATGCACTTATCTGCAAGTGTCTGGGTTAGGAGGTCTTTACAATCACATGACATGTGAGAATAGAATGATTTAGTAGTAACATTTCTCTGAAACTACACACCTTTTATGCTAAATTTCAAATAACCTGGGTGTGTGGCTGACCTCAGGCCCTGGATGGCATAGTCACTGCCTTCCTGAAAATACTCTCGCCTCTAACCACCTAGCCACTCACTGAAGATCCTTCAGGGTGAAAGGCCAAGTGAGAAAGGCCTCATGTGTGTGTGTGGAGACTCCAGCATCTTCCATGCCTAGCCCCCGGCAGGGAAGAGAAGCCCCGAAGGAGGCACATTCCACACCCAGGACTAGCCAGTCTCTGAGTGTCCTAGCTACTGAGCAGCACTCACCTGGCATTGATGAGGTACTGGGCAAGGCTGATGTTGGCTGGGGTCCCTGTGATGGTGATCTGGCGCTCTGATGACCCTTCTGTGGCATTGGCAATTTTGATCTGAGCTCCAGACATCTGTCGAATTTCATTGATTTTGGTCCCTTGGCGTCCAATTATACAGCCTATTAGCTAGAAAAAAGGACAGAGGAATTTCTTAGAGAAGAGCCCATGGCAGCCCTGAGCAGTGTGTGCAGAGCTCTGGGGGAAGCTGTTGGGGACGGCCCAGCCTTGATCTCCACCCCATACCACAAGCTCCTTGCTTCCAGGAGGAAGAGGCACTGTCTTTCTGTGGGAGGGATGGGAGCTGTGGGCACCAGGGCTCTGCTTGGTGCCCTATTTGTGAGCCATCCTGACAAATCAGGAGACCAAAGAGTCACGTGGTTGCCACTTGCCCAATGTCCTTTGGGAACCCAGAGGCCCAGTGCCAGCACCAAGGCTAAGGCCATGCTGGTACCTTCTGGGCTGGGTTCTCAGGGTAGTGGGATGTTTGTTTGAAGCCGGAGTAAAGCTTGCTGCTGCCTGAAACCTCTTTTGATAAACTTGGGTGAAATTCTGAGGACATGTCAAGTGTTCCCTTTCCTTTCCATCCTGTAATCTCTGTATAAGGATGGATGCAGTGGCCTCTGAAGTAGACAGTCCTTGGGAATGAAACAGCCAGAGGGACAAGAGCCAGGGCCTCCCCAGGACACAGGACAGCCACACGTGGGGCCAGATTGCAGCCTGAGGTCCCTGCTGTGCATGGCAGTCCAAGTTCATGGACAGAACTGAGTCCCTTCATTCACATAGGGGCTGCCGATGAGAGCTCTGAGCATGAGCAGAGAAAGAAGAGACCAGACAAGTGGGGCCTGGGCAGTTGGTTTCCTATCCACCTCTCATGTAGCAGCCTGGACAGTGGTGTCAGCACTTCCTGTTCTTGTGTCAGCAGCAGCAGCAGGTGCAGGGCTGGAGGAAATCCATTTCCAAATGAGTGAAGTGACTCTGAACCTGCGAGATGACAACAGCTCACTAGGGACACAGGTGCACCTCAACTAGCTCTTGTCCCTGAGGTGACTTCCAGCGTCTCAGTTCTGCTCATCTGCAAGGCCATCTCTGTTCCTCTCCTAGGTTAGACCAGCTTCCTCACTAGACCTTAACATAGTCTCTCCAACTGTCCAGACAAACTTCCCCAAGCTGCTCAGCTTCTTCCACCTCCTGTCCAAGTTCCCCCAACTCCACTCACATCTCTCCAGGCTCTGCCCACACACTCCTGGGCCCACCTACCACCCAGGCTCTGCCCATATCTCACCAGCTGCACCCCTTACTCCTTTGTGCATGGCCCTGAGGTCAGGGAGAGTGACTTCCACAGATACCAGCCTGAAATCCTTGACTGGCTCTTCCCTGGCACCCTCCCGCTGGCAGAGAAATCTTGAGGGTTCCTTTCTGACCAGGGCCAGTCAAGGCAGCTGACTGGCAAGCCCTCCAGGGCAGGTGCAGGGGCAGCAGCACTGGAGGAAGACTGTGGGGCCAGCTGAGTTCCCTGAAGATGCCGATGCCGGCACTCGGGAGGGCCCGCCTGAGCTTCCCTCCCTGACTTGGTATGTTCTCCCGCTGTCCTCACACCTTCCTTGGCCACTAGAAACAGAATGTGTGGAAGTCCACTTCCTTTGTACTTCAGTGTGAATGGTCCTGCCCAGACCTGCCCGGCCTGCCTGTTTCTGCTCCAGCAAAACCCATTTGAGGTAGATTTCCTCTGTGTGCCCTCCCTACATTCTCTTAAATGTTTGTCCTCCCGTTTTTCTTACTGAAAACATCCACACCCACATCTCTCTTCTTCCCTGTCCTCAGGGCATCTCCCCTCCCTGAGACTACACACCCCTGAGCTGCTCCCCACCCCTGACATGGAACATCTCTCTTCCAGATAAAACCATGCAGTCTGAGTGCCAATGAGAAACCACAGCTGTCAGTGCAGCCTCCAACACTGACTCCGGCTGAGCATAAGGCTCCTCTAAGTAACTACAGGGGGATGTGACAAGAGCGCTAGGCCCACATCTGCTCTGCCCTGGACTGCCCTTCACACAGCCTCTCTGGCTCTCCAGGCCCCCTGGCCATTCAGACCAGAGACCAGCTCTCGTCTAAGTCTTTCATGCCTCCATTGGACATTTAAAGAAAGATTACAGAGGTACTCTCAAATAATGCAGCCCCCTCCTAACCAGATTTCCAAGTCAAACCCCACGGGAACCACGGGAGCACATCTACCCTTGCGCAATTCTTGCAGCTGCCTGTGTGAGCCCTTAGGTTCCCTGTCTCAGCAGAAGGGGCCCAAGCATGGGGTCCCCACAGGCACAGTGACAAGAGCAAGGCAAGCTGTGCAGCAGGCAGTGAGGGCACAGCGGTGATCATCAGAGATGGAGTCCAAGGCTGCCAGCAACTGGGAGCAGCTCCCTGACCCAGCCTGGGGCCCCACGGCCACAAGGGCAGGCTGGCCATGTTGTGGACCCTGTGCGTCATTTAGGTCATCACATTTATTGCACTGTCCAGAGTTCCTTTTTGCAGGTAAGTCGTGGTGACATGTAGGTGTCAGAACAATTTTCCTTTGTCTGATCTAATTTTGACCAAGAGACGGAGATTGACAAGATGATAGGCAAGTGTCCCAACAGATACACGTTCTACTTGCTCTTTTCTCTCCAGGGTGGCAGGAGGCCATGGGGCCACACATCCCCTGCAAGAGATCCTTTGCCAGGAAGGGTCAAGGAGTGGGTTCCGCAGGGCACACAGGGCCCAGAAGGCGTCCTCCTTCTGAGGAGCTCCCCCAGCAGGAGGATGGCAGCCATGCACTGGGAGGGGACCCAGGGAACAGGCACGTCAGCTTTCCAAACAAGTGTATCTCCTTGCTTGTTAGGTTCATTTCAGTTTTAAAATAAAGGCCCAAATCAGAGCAGGATATCTGGTGTTGGTGTAAAAGTGGTTTAAGGAAAGGCTACAAAGGCGGGAGCCCACAGCAGATTGGCGACTTGCACGTATCGTGTAGGTGAAAAGACTTGGCAGCCTGCCCAGAGTCGCTGCTCGAGGACCAGCCACAGTGGGAGGACATGTCTGGAGTCCTTGAAAGCAGAAACTGGCTCTGCATGAGAACACAGAGCCCCATCACCCCGTGCAGAAGTCTGGCCTGCAGCTGCACAGGGTCCCTGACGAGAGCGGTCTCTTCCGGAGGGCCCTCCCGTCCGGCTGCCCATCTCTTTCCTGTGAGTCATCTACTGAAGGGAAGAGACAGGATTTCCTGCCAGGCTGGTGGGAGGGGCAAAGCAGTGAAGGTTACTGAGGGCCGTGGTCCTAGGGCAAGAAAGTCCAAGTCCCCCACATAGCAGCCTCTCTGTGTTGCTCAGGGCAGCTGCCCCTCCAGGATACATGCCCCATATCTGCCCTAGTATCCTAGGTTGGGGATCCAAGTCAACATTTTTATATGATTCAAGGATTCAGAGGATGAGTGGGAGGACTGAGTGTGATGGAGGCTTGAAAGGCCACCTCCTCAGTGTCCAGGCAGGTGGATACCAGATCCAGGAATCCAGACAAACCTGTGACATCCCCATACCCTGCAGACTCACAGAGAACCCCAAACCCTCCAGAGTCCCAGGGAGCATGGGGCAGGGCCACTCCAGAGCATCCCTGGGCCACCATTCTTCAAGGGCCAACCCTGAAGCAGGGCAGTGCCTTCACATGGGGTCAGCGGGGCCTCAGCTTCCCTGCCAGCTCTGGCATCTAAATTCTAAGTAAACTCCAAAGCGCCCTATTTGTTATTTTCTTATCTAGTACCTCAGGGGCTTTTATGGACATTAAACTGCTTAACATGAGAAGGGATGGGCAGGTTATAAGGTAAGGTCAAGGGGGCTCGGGCATACTCACATCATTGGGAATGGTGAGCTCATGAGTGCTGGCCGGGGGGCTGGCATCCAGACCTGGGCACACCAAGGGTACACGGTTAGGCTGGCAGAAGGCTGCTCACATCAAACCCCAGTGCCCAGTCCATGCTAGGCCCAGGCAGGGCCAGGGGCTGGCCCAAGGGGTAAGGTTAGTGCAGCTGGAGGTCAAGGGCTCTGTGAGCTCTTTGCTCAACTGCAATGCAATTCCTGAGTCCCAGCTTCTCTCAAAACAAGGAAAACAAAACCCAGCAGAATGATGTTTCACTTTTTCATTTTGGGCACATCATATGGAGGGACAACTCTCGAAGCCCTTCACAGACATGCAGGAAACTCCATGCTAAACAGCTCTCAGGGTGTGGCCATGTCTTGGGAGCTGCATAGGGTACCAGGGCGAAACCCTGCAACCTGGTCCCTGTCTTCCATAGGTTCTCTGTCCACTCTGCTCCTCCCTCTCCCTGACTGAATAGCCCCACTGGTGTCAGCTGTCGCTCATTGCCCTCTGACCCTAAACTCCCCAAAGGCCGCTACACAGCCTGCTTCAAGGCCCAGTGGGCAGTTCTCCCAGCCTGTGCATCACTGATTCTAAAATAGACTGCTGGGCCACTGGAAGACTGCATGGGTGTCTATGTTGGAGATGAAGACATAGGCCTAATTTGTCACCAAGCCTCAATCCTTATCTTGACAAATTTCAGCTTAGGACCTGCCAAATCAAGACAGCTCTTCAGAGTTCAGGACAAGATCTACTCTTGTTTGACAACAAAACACATGGGGGGACTGTGGTAGGGGAACCGAGGGGACAAAGGCCCAAGGCAGACTGGCTCCCTGTAACCAGTCCTTCCATCTCCTTCTGAGGAGGCATTTCAAACCTAAAGTCCACAGCTGAGACCCTGTTATTCTCCCCACATGGTCCTGGCAGATCAGGTCCTGCAGCTCAGCTCAGACCCTGAAGCCCCCTGGCTCCCCTGCTTCTCTCCACCCACAGCTAACTACACAGACCAGGCTCATGTACCTTGAGAATATTCTGGAACCTGAGCCCTCTTCCCACCCCACATTGGTCACTTCCTCTGCTCATGCCTTTCAGTCTAATCTCCACATGGCCCAGAGAGGTCCCAACAAAACGAAGGCTCTTCCTGCTTCTTCCCCTATGGCACTTGTGTCCCCAAAATCAGATGCACTTTAGCCATCTGTTTCGCTGCCATCAGTGACCCTGTGAGGGTGGGACTGTCCTGGGGGCCCGCTGAGCACGGGCACTCAGGTGGCAGGTGCTGCACGAACCAATTCATCCTGCATTGTCTGTTATTTTTCTTTTGCAGCTAAACCTAGAGTTTCTGTTGTTTGTCTTCTTTTAATAAGGGTATTTTCACTATGATTATTTGGTTGTGTAACCATCTATACACATTCCATACATCGTGGCATTTAAAATGCATTTAAGAGATTTCCTTAGTCCTGAGTCTTACACAGGAACTGCTAACAGCCTGGCTTGGGATGGACATAAAGGCACGAGTCATATTTATTTAACTTGGTATATTTTGATCGAGGGGAGGAAGGTATCAGATTTGTTTACAAGAGGAAAGTAAAATTCAACTAATAAATGTGAGAACACATCATTTAAAACTTGTATGCCTGTGTCAGGGCTCTGTGCCCAGGCATGAGTGTCCCCCTCCTGAAGTAGCATCCCCACTCTGGGACAGGAACAATGCTTCCCCAACATAGCACGAGCCTGCTTTGGAAAAAATGCTGACATCAGCCATTTAGGGTCCTGTCAAACAAGCCAATGCCTCTCACAACCACCTTGCTTAACCTGCTGTGATGGGGGACACGCATGTGAGTGCATGTGTGCAAGTACTTATGTAATGAGAGTACCTGAACTTCAGGTCACCTGGGGCCTTGGAGAGGAAGGTTGTCACAAATAGGAGTGAGTAACCCCATCCCTGAGGCCTGAAGGCCATGGGGAGGGGCTGTGGGGGAAGGTGGGGGCTGAGTGTCCTGGGCAAGCCAGGCCCTAGGGGTTTCCAGGTCATCTCCAGGAGCCCTTCGCTGAGTAATTATAGAAAATCACGTTTTAAACTGCTAAGGGCTGTACAGACACACATGTATCACCCAGATATTAACTTTGTAAGGGCTGATATTCACTTCCATAATCAAAATTTTCTATAAATGCTTTAATTTTCACTCATTAAATTATTCATTAACTTAAATAAAGGCTACACCGAGATGGAACCCATTGCCAGTGCATAGGGCATCGGGGCCAGTGTCTCAGCCTCAAGACACCCGTGAACCCCAATGGGCACAGCTGGGCCCAGATGCAGACTGTGGGAAAGTTTTGGGGTTTCTTCCAGCCTCAGCTGCACCCTGGGGCCCAGAACTCACCCCTGGGGTGACAGCCAACTCTGCTGGAAATGCTCTTCCCCTCAGTCTTCCCTTTAGAGCTAGACTCTCGTTCTTCTGCTCTGACCCAGGTTTTCAAGGGGATGGGGGAGCGGGCAGCGCCCCCTCATCATAGGAAAC